GGGGACCGTCCCTCCCCCCTCCCCCTTCCTCCCCCCCCTTCCGTCGCCGAGAGGCTCCGCGGAGGCGGCAGCTCGCAGGCTCTGGGGGCCGCGCCCCGGATGTCGGGCAGGGCGGGCAGGGCGTTGCGCCGGCCGCTGAGCGAGGAGGCTGCGAAGCTCGAAGCTCGGCCGGGTGTCCTCAAGGCCCGGTCTGAGGGGCGGGGCGGGTGCGTCCCCCCAGCCCAAGCGGAGGGCCCGGCCTCTCCTCAGGGGTCGGGGCTGGACTGGGCCTCACCTCCCACCCGGTGCAGAACCCACTCCTGCCGACTGAGGAGCCGCCCGCCCTTTTTTTCTCCGGAAAATCTTGCCCACTCTGCACCCTCCACAGCTGCAGGGACTCGCCTGCTCTGAGCTTCCCAACGCTTGCAGCTGTCCAAAAGGAACCCTGTAGTTTCCGCTATGGTGGGGACTGAAATTGGAAAGCGCCAGGCCGGACGGTGCACGCCTGTAACCCCAGACACAAGAGGCTGAGGCAGGAGGGCCTCGGAGACTTGGAGGCCCGACTGGACTACAGGCCAGCTTGGGAAACACCGTGAGACCCTGGGTCCTAATCCAGCCCCCAGGCATTCTGAAACGATGGGAAGTGCGACCTCCCGACTCCGAGGCCACTTCTCGGTCCGGGCCCAAACTCCTAGACCCAGCGGGGTGAGAAGGGGCCATTCCATTCTTTCATCACCTTCTACCGCAAACCTTGCCTAGACGCCTTCGTTTTCATTTGCTTCACATTATTATTCCTGTTCTGAACCGAGTACTTTCATTACGAGAGGTCTCGAGACGTAACGGACGGCGGGGCCGGTTTGAAAGTGTGTCGCAGGAGCTGTGCGACCCGGCCCGGGGAAGGACCCGTGCGCGGCGGGGTGCGAGGCCGCGGACCGGCCCAGCCGCGGGCAGAGGGCGACCCAACGGGCAGGCCCCGCGGGGAGGCGCCCCAGGGGTCAGACGGCAGAGCAGCAGCTTCAAGGGCAGCTGCGCTCGGAAGACGATGCTCATCGTCCTTCCCACCGCTGCGGACACAAACGCTCCTGGGTTTCCCGAACCTCATCCCAGCACCCGGAGGCAGGGGTGGAAGATCGAGAGCTCAAGCCCAGCCTGGTCTCCAGAGTGAAATCCTGCCTCCAAAAAGTGAAGGGAGGGAAGCAGAAGAGAAGAGGGGGAGAAAAAGCATAAAGAAGACCCAGAAACGCATTTGCACTAGAAAGTGCAAGAAATCTGGAAAGCACTAGAACCCTGGCCCAAACCCAGGCTGGGCAGGCGCGTGCGCTCCCGATGGGCGGCTTCAGGCCCGACAGGGTGGACAGCAGGGGGAGAAAGAGGAAGTGGACTCTGACGGCGGTCGCAGGAGAAAGGCCCTGTGCCTCTGCCCGGTAAACGGCTGGGTACGGAGCTTAATCAGACCGGGAGTGGGTGTCCAGCGGGTGACAACGTGGTGTCGCGGGCAGAGCCTTGGCCAAGGCAGACACTGGACAGCAGCGGGGCCCTCCCGCATCGAGAGCCCTGCCCAGCCACAGCGCTGACTCCCAGGGGCGCTGCCGGCTGTCCCACCTACACGCACCCACGCACACGTGACCAGGCTGGGCTCAACTGGAGCAGATCCCCCTTCACCATTTGTATCTCAACAGGGGGAACTGCGGCCCTTCATCCTCTAGACCGATTGTCCTTGCCTAGGAGTAGCAGTGAGAGGCACACGTCTATGGCAGAAGTGGCATTGCAGTTGTTCTTCCAGTACAGTACAAAGGTAACTTAATGGTCTAAGTACGGACACTCTAAATGGCATGCTTTAATTTCAGAATGCCTTTATAACTGATAGATACAGCGTCTGTCTTTGAAAGGAGAAATGCCTACATCCATCAACAGAACAGTAGATAAGAAAATGTGGTCTTTACACACGGCAGAGCACTACTCTGCCATAAGCGAGACAAACGAGTCTTTTGTAGGGAAACGGATGCACCTTGAGACCATAGTGTGGAGTGAAATAAGTCAGAAGCACAGGCTTAAATCCTGCCTGGTTTCTCCAACATGAGAAACCCAAAGGACAAATAAAGAGCAAAGTACGAGAGAGATAATAGGAAGCAGGGAGGCAGAACTTCCTCAAATGGGAAGAGGACCCAGAGAGGAGGGAAGGGAGACGAAGGGAAAGCAAAGAGCACGAAGATGTGTTACGTGCATCCACCAACTCCCTACAATGAGTGTAATCACGATGCACTGCAACTTGTACTAATAAAAACAAAAATTTGAAAAAAGAAAGTGCAGTGTGAAAAAAGAACAGAACCGTTTTGAATATCACACCAGCATTTATACATGTAAATGTCCACCACATCCTTCAAAGCAATTACTTGAACAAGCCACAAATCGCTTCGTATCACTTAAACCACTTTTGTGAGCCTACAGTACCAATCATTTTACACTCACGCATCATAATGATAGCATATTATATTTTAAATATGCTATTACAGCAAACTTTTTAATTAAAGACTGTATGCCTCATTTGATCATCTTTTTTGGGGGAGGATAGGGTCTCTCTGTACTTCAGGCTGCCTCGATCTTAGAATACAGCCTGGGCTGACCTTCAACATCCAATCCTCCTGCCTCAGCTTCCCCAGTGGTAGGGTTCCAGCCTGTACCACCACAGCCAGCCGCAATTGCCCATCTCTTTGTGCTAACGGTGACTCCAAGCTCTTCAAAGCCTCCTGAAGTTTCTCATCTTTGCACATATTCAGAGAAGCCTGTTTCCAGTGATGACGAAAGCACAGCTCTGAGCGCTGGCAGCCTGTGGCACCACTTGAACACGCATCACAGGATCCAGGGATTGCCGGCCACCCTTCCGTTAGTCCCCTGGTTTGAGAACCACTCCACACGGAGACTGTGCACATTCGTTGCCTGAAAGTTCCGGAATCGAGCCCTGCATTGCCTTCTCAAAGACCTGACTTCCAGCAAGACATTACACTTCTCTGCTAGTTAAGGTTCTACATTTGTGACAGGTGTGAATAATAGTAACTATTTCACGACCTTGGGCCCAAAGAACTAATGGCTATCAGTGTGCTCGGCTGGTCACCACACAAATGAGACTCGCCCAGCTGTCTCATACCGACTGACTGACAGGCCCGAGGCCTGTTACCCACAGTGCTGATGCGGCCCCAGGGCCCTGGTGGGCACCCAGGCTCGTGAGCCACAGCTGGCCGTGCGTGTCATTAAAAGCTCTAAAAGGTTCGCCATCTTGGTTTAGAGGCAGCCTCTGACCTTGTGTCATAAAGACAGGAAGGGACAATTCATGGTGTCTGTCTCCCTGGTACTCCCCGCCATCTCTCTCTCACACACGCACACGTACACACATGCACAGACACACATCTCCTCCTCCTCATCACCAGCAGCGCTGTCTCAAACTTGCCTAACTTCCGCTCCACCTGAATCAGGCTACTTGTCAAGCACCTCACGTCCCTCACTCCTCCCATAGGAAATTTCTCCCTGAACACAGAACTTTCAGCAGCAAGCCCCGTGTGTCCAGCAGCAGCCCAAACATTCCCAGTGTCCTACACAATAGCTAAATTGGGTCTGAATCCTCCGTCCTTCACGACGCTTGAGAAAGCTTCCCAGTGTGAGTAACATTGAGGGCCTGATTCGGGCAAGGGGCTCACACATCACAGTGCCCTGCACCCAGAGGAGCCCCCAGCAGCCCAGTCCTCGCAGGAGAGACAGTAGCTTCCCCGCTCTGCCTTAGGCAGGGGATCGAGGGCGACCGCTCTCTCGGCCATATGCATGGAACCGTCCCACATGCAGCACCCGGAAGCCGCCCCCCCCCCCCCGGACTGGACCCGGGAGACAGGGACACAGGGGCCCACGGCTCCTCGGAGCCGCTTTCCTGGGCACCTGACCCCTTCCCCTTCCCTCACGGTGCCCGCCAGTGCTTGTCCCTCTCCTCCTCTACCTGACCAAGTGCATCTGGTGCGCCACCCGTCCCCCTCTGCACTGCACACGCCACCACGAAGAGGCTTCCACAGCCGCTCCACCCCCGCTCTCGCGGCACCGAAACCACGCTGCTGCTTGCTTAGAGCAAGTGCTCTGTGAAAATTTAGTAAACGCATAAATCTCTTTCCAGTTCTTTTTCAAAATGAATCCCGTCCTCTCTGGGTAGGAAATGTACATGTGCTCACTGCTGGAGAGAGGGCCATTCTGAAAGTCACAAAGAAGCAAAAACAAATCACCTCATACTCCACTAGGCAGTGACAGGACTCTTATCACTCTGGTGTGTATCCTTGCAGGGTTTTCTCAGTGTTGGCTCACACAAGCATACCACAGACATATCTGACACGCCTCTTGTCTTACATTTACTTGATATCATTTTATTACACCTGAAATGTAACCTTGTTAGGATGACATAATTTTTAAATTTTAATGGAAGTTCTGAGAAAATAAAATTGTCTTGGATGTTAACATTTCAAGGCATATACCCACTAGGTCAAAGAGGCAGAGCCAAAAGGTACAGCAAAAGTAAAGGCTATGGCTGAGGACAGAAAGCGTTCATAATCCTTTCCTTAATTAAACTGAATAAATAAAGTTGATATATAAGGAACGCACTTTTTAAATGTATACAATTTTTAAAGTTCTAGTAATGTCCCTATTTTGTCAATTTAAAGAAAAATTCTTCAGTATGTTTCCAAGTCCCTCTTTGAATGAATATCATTTTCAACTTTTTTCTTTCCAACTGAGCAAAGCAGAAAAATGATTGAACTTTTCCAAGATCTGATTTGTTTTCTAAACTCTCTTTAGTATTTTTTTTTACAGGAGAGGAAATCAATTTAGTGTTTCATCAAGCAAGAAATTTAATCAAAATCACAGTAACAAAACTTTAAGAGTTGTTTTAGGGGTTTTCTGGGTCATAGAGGAGAAAAAATTCCCAAACAAACAGCAAATAATTTCAGAAAGAAAAAGTATACCATCAAAATATTATTGCTTATCAAATTATGCATGTCCGGGGCTGGGGATTTAGCTCAGTGGTTCCACTGCCTGCTTCGCAAGCACAAAGTCCCAAGTTCAATCCCCGGCACCAAAAAAAAAAAACAAACAAAAATTATGCATGTCTGTATTAATCTACAATTACATTAATAGAAGTAAAGTTATTTAAATGGATCCAATTGTACAAAAACCTTTTATAAGAGTTAAATCTGTCACTGCATTTATTATATAAGTGAAATAGAAAAAACCAAGTTCATGAAAATGATATCTAACATATATGTAAAATGAAAATGTTCAAAATTTGTATACATGTTAATTTTTAAAATACGCACATAGTAAAATATTATCAGGGAAATATACTGAAATGAACTGTAAAAAAAAAAAAAGAAAAATTAGGCTCAAACCAAAGAGCAAAAGCAACTCAAAAGCAGGACCCTTGGTGAATCCTAAACACATTTGCAGCCACCAGGTAAATGACATGTCACACTGGGCTAGACAGGGTCTCCCTGGCACAAACCATTCTCCCCTTCCTGGGAACAGAGCAGATCAAAGCTCTCATAGCACCGTTCAAGTAGACGTGGGCTCCAACAGCCGCAGAGTTGAAGAGGGAAATGAGGGCAAATGGACCTGCTCTCTGACACGAAGTGACAGAATGCCCAACTCCAAGGTCTTTCCACAGAGGATATGTGCTAAGCCACACAAGCAGATGTCGACAGAAGAAGCCAACTTTGGGTTGTCCCCCAGGACATCAGCATAGGCCCAAGTTCCTGGCAAATCGTGCTCTGTGCTCCTTGATGACACCTGCCTCAGGAAGCTGGATCTTCTC